TTTTCTTCTATTGTATCGTAATAATAACTTTGCAAAATTATTTTCCTACTTTTACTAGTGTTACATAACCAAAGCTAGGTACAATTAGCCGTTTTGCTGCCCTTTTGCTTTTGGAAACTAGGGGATGTGGTGTCAAACCACGCATAAGTGAATGTCATACAGTCTTTTCCTGGCCTTATATTGCATTTAGTGCAAGAGCTTCATAGTAACAACTCATTAAAAAGCTAGGCATTATGAATTTCCTAAATGGGCGCAGTCATAGTTTACTGAAACCAAATGACTAAAGCATCTATCTTTTAAATGTTCCCTATTATTGTCCTTGGTTATCCCAGAGAATACTTTACAAATGTGACTTTAGTTGCGGACAGAATGAGAATGCCAGTGTCATATTATCTCATATAAAATATCTTCTGATTATCTTTTACCAAAGCTGACTTTTATATTTAAATAAGAATGTCATATGATGGTAATTTTAATAGTTTCATCTTATATCTAAATGGTTGTATGTAGAAAACTTTGTAAACCAACAATTAAACCGAATATTCTGCATACAGTCTTGTTCTTCATTTAGGCACAGCGCTCTTGAGCATAATAATAATTAGTAATCATAATATGCTTGACTCTCAGGGCTTAGACTCAAGTGACTTTCATTGAAATTTCAAATGTGTTCAAACCATTCCCCAGCACTTTTAATTTTCTCTCACTTAGGACAATGGTGAAATAGTTTCAAATATGGACTATTGGCTCCCTGCTTTCACCTCTTCCTGTATGCACAGTTTTCCCATTTAACCATGCTATGCCCTCCCACAAAAAAGTACGGTCATCTTTCATAATAATTGCCAATCAAGTTAAGTAAATTGATTTGGCTAATAAGATACTAGATTGTATTTGCTGTAGATATTTCTTCTGTAATTCTGCCACTGTAGTGAGAGAGACAAACCTAAGTTAACTCAGATATACCATGCGCAGGTACAAATGCCCTATGTTGGATGTGATAATTATGTATATCTAAGTTGTACCAATAAACTTAATTAAAATAGAAATTTTCAATTAATCAGAAACAATTCTTATCTTATAAATACCATAAAAATGTAGAGATTAGTGACCAAAAAATAAAAGAAGTCAATGTATTAGAAAGAATAACAACTAATTCACATTATCTTAAACATAAAGAAAATCCATACTTGATATTACAAGTTATTTTCAGGTGGATAATAAGGGCAACACAGTGAATGCAAAATTATAATATTGTAATCAAGAATTTGAAATTGGTTGAGGGATAGGCAAGCACTTGAAAAATAGGAATAAAAGATTGAGCCATGTGCCCAGGCCAACAGCACAAATACTAAAAATTGAGCCAGGACTCTGTAATCACAATATATGTGATAGAAATGTCATTAAATATTTGTATGGAAGAATGCATCAGTTGATAACTGGTGCTAATACAACTAGTTTTCCATTTGGAAGCAAATAAATTTGGGTCACTATATCATACACAGTAAATATAGTAGATGAAAAGCCTAAAGATGAAATACACCACTTGTACAACTCTATAAGATATAGGAACTTATGTCTGATTTTTTAATGTAAATATAGGAATTTTTTTGAACTCTAAATTTATATTCTCCTTAGCATTATATATACTGCCTTCTCTGCAACTTGTTCCTGTATAGACAAAATATTTTACCTTAAATAGCAGGATCAGTGTAGAATTATTCATAGTGCTAATATCTGGATTTCTCTGTTCACTTTTAAATTGTATAATTATTATATTAATATTTTATTGTATGAATTATCTGTATATTTTATTTATTTACTTTTAGGTTTTTCATGTTTTTCTTATTGAGTTATAAAAGTGAGAATATAAGTTTAGAGACATGGTAGGATTCCAATGCAAAAATATCTGATATTTTCAAGTGTATATATAATAAATTCCAATAATTCTACTAGTAGACTGAGTCTAGGGCTGTGCTCAGCCATTTATGGCTAGAGGGTCAAATCCTGTCAGCTGTCTGTTTTACTTCACAAACATTTAGCACACACTGCTCTGCCCTTTTATTTATGCACAGTTACAGCAGTTTTTCCACTATCCTGGCAGAGTTCAGTAGTAGAGACACTACCCAGAAGGACCACATTTATTGACTAGTAGTTACAAAAATGTTTGCTGACCTCTGATCTAATGTATTTCTTATACTTGGGCACAAAAAATATTCATAGCATATTGATTGTGACAATGACAAACTAGAAAGATAGAAGATACTTCAGTACAAGAAAAAAGATGACCTTATTATGCCAGAGTCTTCCACTAGAATGCAATATAAAAGTGAAAATGAATCAAGGTGCTATATATATTGTCATAAGTAAAGCTCAATGACATAACTGAAAAATACAATTGTTGGTAAATAAACAGTGTGATATCACTTACATAAATGTCTGGAAAATACAATTGTTGGTAAACAAACAGTGTGATATCACTTACATTCCATGAAATACATTTGTATATGGTAACCTTGTCAGTTCACGTGTGGGGCTGATAAATACCAAATACAAGGGAATTCTTTCCTCAGGGAGCTTGGGAACATAATTGAGAAGAGATAAACAGAAGCTACAGTGCTCTGATAATCTTTGTAATAATATTTCTTCTGCATGATATTTGAAGGTGTCTGTAATAGTCTTTATACTGCTTTAAATGTTTTGAAATGAAATAACCTCTGTTGAAAGCCATGCTCCTTTTCTTAAAGGTGTACAAGCTGATTGTGAGGCAAAGAGCAAATATGAAATTGCAGGAGAAATGTTTTTGCAGTAATGGAGAGCTTTATAAAGATACAGAGACATCTCTTCCCCGAATGCCCAAGTCACTGAGTCGTGGTTGTGAGTGAAATTCTCAGCCCAGACAGGGAGAACTTGCTCTAGTTGAGACATCAGAAGGAAGACAGATTGTTAAACTTGCCTGTGGCATACCATGATTCTGCCTTTGGGGGAGGGTGAAAAGATACAGATCGTGTTGGATAGACTGGCAGGACACATATGAGATCCTGTGAACATGAGATAACAGTGTTCTTCAAAGCTATTTTTAAGAAGAACAGTTGATGCTTAAATTTTTCTCTTTTTTATTTGTATCCTTTTAAATTTCCTATAACATTTTTTAAATTGCATGCTTCTATCTGTAATGTGAACAGCTAATTCGAAGACAGTATTATGCAATACTGCAACCACTGTAGAATTCCTAAAAAAGAGATCATCCAAAAACTTGATTCTAAAGTTGAAATATTTCCTGTGTGACAGTCTTGTAGGAAGATTGCTACATCAATAGCGTCCTTTTTTTTTTTCCCACAGGGTCTCAATATGCAGTTCATCCTCCCCAGCAGCTAGGATTGCAGGTGTGCTCTACCACACCTGTACTCCATCACCGGCTCAGCGTGCCCCATGGGCAGAGCTGGTGCGGCCTGTGGTACTGGGGATGGAACCCCAGTCCCTGTGCTTGCCTAAGCAGGCGCTTAGTCTGCTGAGCCAGGTTGCTGGCCCTATCAATCGATTCCTAAACAGATAAAAATATTTGCTGATTTTGCAAAAGTGAAAATTTGAAATTTATGAAGCTTTTAAAATTCCTTTAGTTGGCCTAAAACTACATGGTAGTGTACTCACAGTATGTTCAAATTTGATATAATACTGTTGAAAAGAAATTTATGCATAAATTCATTTTTACAACTGCATTTAGATGAAATTAAACATTAAAAACAAATAGGTCCTAAAGGATGAGGTTATTTGGGGTTGTGGCAACTTCTCTTAGGAGTTCACGACGCTGCCAAAGCGACTGGTTGTCTCCTACTGAATACGGAATTAAAGTTCGTGCTTATTACCTGTCACTCATTCAGGTTCTGATGAGTCATTGTGGATAACTGACTGACAGTATTTTCATTGTTATATTTCCCTTTGATTAATCTGTATCTCTACGACACTGTTTTCGTTTAGTAAAATTATCAATTGCCCAAGTATTTATTTTGAAATGTGTAAGGACTGATTTTGAACTTAAAGTATCAGGCATAAAAATCTCAATTGCATAGTTCAGATACTTCAATGAGTTATAAAGCAAATGATTACATAATACACTTTTATGAAAATTTTGCTCCTAATAAATTTTTAATGTTAATTATCCTTGTAAGTTACATGTAAAATGCATTCAGCTTCTTAAGAAAGGGCAAAAGAAGAGGGAAAAAGAGAAAGCGGGGCATATGAGAGAGGGCTCCAGATAAATTAAAGGATTGAAATAATAAGAATCCATCACAAGCTGGTCTTTATAGATGTTGTCAAGTAAAATAAATATGAGGAACTTTATTTTCAAAATATTCATTCTTTAAGAGATCTAATTACTTCTCTTGCAACTAATTTCATATATAAACTTTATGGAAATCATCAACTCATAACGTATTCTCACTAACAAATACAGGATTGAAGAAGAAATACAATATTTTACACATTCTCTGGTAACAGAAAATGATGGCTTACACATAAATCTGACAATGTGCTCAAAAGTTTTCTTTTTTCTTATTGTTACTGTTGGCTGGCTTTCTTTCTTTCTTTCTTTCTTTCTTTCTTTCTTTCTTTCTTTCTTTCTTTCTTCTGGAGAAATTTTACTTGTTAATATTTTTTCCTTGAGATAAACTAGAACAACCCACGTAGATCCTGCCCAAAGCTTATACCTTTTCTAAGGAATTTAGAGTGTAAGTTTGAGTAAAGCTGCTTGTCTTAGACTTTGTTCACCTGAAAGAGTCCAGACACAGTAATTTACTTTTTTCATATATAGCTAATTGTGGACATATGCACACTTTATCCCAATGATTCCATTTATTAATAACCTGAAAGAATAATTCTGATCTAAAATTTATTTTTCTCAATGTAACTGTCTCTAAAATACAGTATTATTTCTGTGGAAATTGTACACTGTCATAGTATATAAAAGCTATTTATTAGCTTCAAAGCAGTGCTATTTTGTATTTCAGGAATACACAATAGATGTTTTTTTCCGACAAAGATGGAAAGATGAACGCTTAAAATTTAAAGGACCTATGAATATACTACGGCTTAATAATTTAATGGCTAGCAAAATCTGGACCCCAGATACCTTCTTTCACAATGGAAAGAAGTCTGTAGCTCATAACATGACAATGCCGAATAAGCTGCTTCGAATCCAGGATGATGGGACACTGCTGTACACTATGAGGTACGTTCTATGTTTGACACATTGTGTGTGATACTGAAAAATCAGTTTATTAAATAAACATCCAACCTAGTTGTATTAAAAGTGGTACATTTTCCTATCAGAGAGAGCTCATAATATGCTTTGTAAATTCATTGCTATGTAAAAATTAGTAAAAATGAAAATATTTATGAACTTTGTTTTTATCTTACTCTATTTAAAGCTTAAGATTTGCCTTTAGGCTGGTGATATAGCTCAGTGGCATAAGCACCTGCCTGGCAAGTACAAGGTCCTGAGTTGGATCCCCAGTACTGAAAAAAAAAAAAGATTTGCTTTAATTATGAACACTTGGTACTTGGGTTTATTGATTCATTACACATTATAATTGAGTACTATTTTAATGTCATAACTTCAATATTGTTTATATTATCTTTAATATCCTCTCAGACAATCATAACTTTTTAAGCAAGTCCTTACTTAGTATCTTGATCCCCCCCTTATGCTGTTACTCTATAGAGAAAATTGAATTTTTATTAAGTTTATAAGTAAATTGGAAACCATAAACATATGCACTAGATCAAACCATATGAAATTGTCATTTTGGTATTTAAACTTTTGCTATACCTTGATTTCATATTGTTCAAACCCTAATGGAATTGTTGAGAGAACTAAACCATTATTGATTGTAACTACTACTCCATTTTAGCCATTATAATGAATTAATATTTTAAAATAAGTTCCTTGTAGTAAGAATGAAAAATAATCATAAATCTAGCCAATGTTGTAGAATGGAAAGTTAATGCTTAGTAAACAACTTAAAGCAAGAAGACTATCTCTAACATTACATACAAACTGAATTGCATGCATTTGATACAATATTCTTTCATGCTAAATTTAAGTGATAGATTGCCATTATGAAAGGTATTTAAAAGTGGCAAAAATACAATTTTGTACTAATTCTAGCCTTTAAAAAACTAAACTCTTGAGGGCTCCTTATCACACAGCCATTGCCTACTGGAAGTGGCAGGAGCACAGCCTGCTCCTCCTGCCTCTCTCTGAACCTTGCAGTAATCCAGATGCGATGTCCTTGAGGCCTTGACCCTTCAGTCTTTTATGCCCATAGATTAAAACAATGATTAGAAATTTAATCTTTAGGCAAATTATATGTGAAAAATGTATAGAATTTTAAGTTTCTACTTGCATAGGTTTCTATTTAAGTTCTCTCTTAGAAGTATAGAGTGCATGGGAGGTTGAAAACAGGAGGATTATTATGAGTCTGATCTGTGTAGTAAGACCCTATAGACCCTGTACTAAATACATTAAAATAAAAAAGAAGTATAGAGGCCAAGATCAATATTTGGCCACATTAGCTATGCTCAGTAAGATTAGATTTTCCTATGTGTTCCATTTATTATCTGCTGGGGGGCCTGGCCCTAGCTCAGTCCTTTAAGTGGCTGCTTCCACAAAGCTGTCAGCCTCAGGTTGCTGGAGTTCGAACCTCACAACTCTCCTGCTGGCCAAAAGTGCCCTGAAGGCATTCGAGGAAGAAAAAAAAAACCCTTATTCCATTTATTATCTGCTTTATTCAGTTTGTTTTTTAGTAAAATGGAATAATTGAAAAAGTAGAAAATTGGAAGCTTTCTCTGATTACTATTTTTATCATACTTGATTCATTTAGATACAAAAGAAACATATTTAGCATTAAGAACTTGTGTCCATGGGGCTGGTGAGATGGCTCAGTGGTCTAAAGCACCTACTTAGAACAAGCTTAGCAAAGCACAGGGACCGCAGTTCAATCCCCCAGCACCACATGCC